CCAGGCAGCTACCCAGCTGCTTGTGGTAGATCCCACCATGGAGTTGATTGCCAGTCTCCTCATGGGGATTAACTACCACCAGCTGCCCAGCCACTCAACCAGGCCCAGCCAAGTTGACACACAAACCAAACTACCACAAATATGATGCAAACATTTTAAGTATCTAAGATAAGCACTGGTGACACAGTGGTTAAATGCTTGGCTGCTAAACAAAAGGTCAACGGTTCGAACTCACCAGCCACTCAGAGGGAGAAAAATGTGGCAGTCTGCTTCCATAAAGATTACAGCCTTGGAAACCCTATAGGGCAGTTATACTTTGTTTTATAGGGTCACCATGAGAAGGAATCAGCTTGTTGGCAATGGGTGAGAAGCATAAAATATTATTATTAATGCAGAACTGTAATTATTTCATTATAGTTCCAAATCATTTACAAATTAAAAGATATGCTTTTTTGAAAAAAGGAGGCCTGTTGATGCACTGGTTAAGTGCTTGGCTGACAACCAAACTGGAAACCAGTTGTAATTGGCTTGATGGCAATGGGCTAGTTGGCTGACTTTTAAAAAACAAGATAAATTTCTGAAACCCCTTCAGTCCATGATGATGTACAGCAAGGTAACTTTTCCCCCAATAGAGATTTCAAATAAACATCATCATAACAACACAACTTACTCCATGTCATGTAATATTTCTTTAATATACAGCATCACAACTACTATACACTAACATATAAAGGTTAGAATTAACCAGAAATACTGTCAGATCTGTAATGGGCATGGTTTACTAGTTTCCATCTCTTCTTCTTCTTTTTTTTTTTTTGCAGTGTTTCCTCCCCTCTCCTCCTCCCCTGCCCCCCGGCAACCAACAATGAAAGTTTTCCTCCATATATAAACATTTCCTTGATCCTCCACAACAATGAACTAACACTGTATTTGGCCTTCTGTGATTGACTTATACTACTCAGCATAATGTCCTCCAAGTTCCTCCATATTATGTGGTATTTTGCAGATTCTACATTATTCTTCAGTGCTGCATAGCATTCCATTATATGTATGTACCATAGTTTGGTCAGCCACTCTTCCGCTATAAATCTTAGGGATAAGTCCCTTGCTAGATATGTAATTATCGGCAAATATGAATTTGTTGCTGTCATTTTTGTTATGTGCTTTTTCATGGTGATTTCTTTGTTCCATATAATTTTCTATGCTGAGCTCATTTTTATAAATTGTGTTATCACTTCTTTCATTGCTATTGTTTTAGTGCTGGTCTTCTTTTTTGATGTGAAGTTTTATCATTTTTCTTTGAGGTTACCCTGTGATTTATAGTTTTCTTCCCAAGTTTAGAATAGTCCATTCTATCCTGTAGTTGTCTTGACTTCCCTACCATCTAGAATTTCTGTAACGACACAGTTTTTCCCCTCTTTTTGGTTTGTAGTTGTCCTCATTGGACAATTGATGTCTCTGGTTTCCTGTGTACAATCTTGTAGGCTTATTTAATTTGGATACTTCCATAGCTAGGTTGGTTTCTGGGTTATATCATCATGTGTATTAATGGTCAGTTGTTGTTGGCTGGTGTTGCTTCTCTGTCAAAGGGCTCCCTATAGCATCTCTTGTAAGGCTGGTCTGGTTTGAACAAATTCCTTTAATTTCTGCTTATCTGGAAATGTCCTAATTTCATCATCATGTTTGAGGGACAGTTTTGCTGGCTACATGATTCTTGGTTGGAAATTTTTCTTTCAGGGTTTTATATATACTATCCCATTGTCTTCTTGCCTGCATGGTTTCTGCCAAGAAATCTGAGCTTAGTCTTATTGGTTGCCTCTTGTAGGTAACTTTTCGCTTTTCCTGTGCTGCTCTCATGATTCTGTCTTTGTCTCTGGTTTTGATGAGTTTGATGATGACATGTCTTGGTGATTTTCTTTTGGGGTCTATCCTGTTTGGGGTTTGTTGGACTTCCTGAATGGATATATTCTCACTTTTCATCATACCAGGAAAAGTCTCTTCCAATAAATCTTCGACAATTTTCTCTGTGGTTTTATTTTTCTCTTCCTGTTCTGGAATTCAAATTACACATAGGTTACTCCTTTTGATGGTATTCCACATTAACCTTAGGCTTTCTTCATTTTGTTTTGATCTTTTTTCTGATTTATCCCTTTTCAAAGAAGTGTTTAGGTATTTGCCTTCAATCTCCCTAATTCTGTCTTCCATTGATGAAATTTTGCTCCTTAGCCCATTCAATGTCTTATCTATTTCTGAAAATTTAGTATTAATCTTCTGGATTTCTGTGTGTAGATTTTGTATCATTTCTAATTTTTCATTTATTTTGTCATTTTGTTTTTGCATTGTCTTTTGAAATTGTTCTAGGGTTTTCTCTGTGTTTTCCTTGATCTGTCTCTCAATTCATTGAAAATGCCTAAATATAATTCTTTTGAATTCCTTATCAGGGACTTCCAATGTGGCATCTTCCTCAGGGATGTGTTTTGGGTCTGTATCCTGGTGCCGTTTCTCCTGCTTTATCTTTCTTCTTTGTGTGGACTGTGATGCTCTGTTGTCTCCGAGGCACTGTGACATTTTTGTGTTTATATTTAATTGCTGATTGTATGTTGGAGTGACTTGCCCACTATTTTTGTTTTCTTTGTATGTTATCTACACAAGCAGGGCACTGTGCTCCTCTATTTGCTAGTTGACAGCACTTACATACTCACCACTTGTCTCCTTTATTGTTGTCAGCCTTTCGTATGTCCCTCCTGACCTTGGCAAACAGAGCTTATTCTTAGGTCCGTGGAATCCGAATGAAAATGCTATCACTTTAAAGTCCAAAATGGTTGCCACTTGTAAAGATTCAAAATGGCTG